ACTATTTATCAATTAATAGTGGTGGATATATACCAAGACGTGTTTCATCGACCTTGAGGAGCATAATTGTTTAAGTATATTAAGTATTCCCCAGATCAGTTGGATAACATATTGCCGAAAAAACGTCTGAGATTGACACCGAAACTTGCGTGCGATGCGAAACAGTAAATAGCGTTGGATATCGCATATCTACTGGTTCAGGAATCAATCAGAGCGTGCGGATCTGGATATCCACTGTCGATCCACTGACATGGGGAATAGTAACATCATTATCATGGCTCGTTTGAACGCATGCAWGAGTTAATGATAATCGATAATAGTTTTCGGTCAAAAATATAACTATCATCCACTTATTGAAACGGGCTTACCTAATGAAACTAGCTAAGCCTCAGTCTCGTTGCTGCTCTACCAGTCCTGGTACTGTAGCATTCGCGCGGAGGTCTATCACCTTCTTCTTCAGATKTGGAATCATTGTCACTGTCAATGTCACTATSTGATCCTCCCTRCAAATTCCGTTCGATGCGGTCCACTTCACTCTRTGGAAGCTCGTACAGTAACACCAGAGTCGTCGGTGCTGGTATCGATGTCAACCTTATCGATAATGGAGTATGGGGAGTTCTTGTTGTCTCTATACGCTTCTTGGAAGACAAGACTATTGTCTGAATTGCTGTTATCCAGCCAAAGAAAATCCACCATTTTTTTAGCAAATTCCAACTCTCTTGCTGACTTACTTTTCACTAGAAGATCTTTCATRACCAAGGCAAGAAAAAAAVCGAACTGTYCCCTCCGTCTTGCATGCTTCGCGGCCACAACATCACGAGTCGCAAATAGAACTTCATATTGCTGCAGTGCGCTCGACAGTGGCTGGTCCGTTGCCTCGCTCGACGCTGACTCAGCAAGGAAAGACACCGTGGATCCAGGCTCTCTTCGCTGTAGATCTAAAGATACTRCATACGGTAAACAACCTGTTTCTTCCTTRCTCTTATCACGCACAGTATGTTGCCTTACACTCGCGCCAAATGTCGAAGAAAACTCGCGCAGTTCCTGTTTGTCTTCTATCGTCAACTGCTCCATTTGGTGATCCATCTCATTTAACATTCATCGTTCACAGGTGGACGTCTGCAGTTGATAACCTTGTCAGTATAATAGCTCTTTGGACCCGTGTAATAATGGAAGTCACCATTGTACATGCGCTTCTGGAGCTCTCTCACACAGGTAGCTCGTCTTGTCCCATATTCCAGTTGGGCAGGCATAAGGTCGTCTTTTCTCATCAAAGAGAAAAAGTTTTCCACTATAAGGGTAACCATTGCCGTCAGGCGAACTTGAGAGACCAGTCCAGAAGCACCAACTTCATTCAACAAGTTTTCGAGTTTAACAAGGGTCTCATGCATCATCAGGAATGATTTCCTTGTGCAATACGGGATTATCTGATCAGGTCCCTGAGTTGAAACGCGACCAGTTCTTTCTTGTGTTTGCATTAACCAAGTTAACAGAAACTGTACAAGCTTGTCGACTATTTGGAATGACTCTGTAAAAGTCTTCCTAGGAATTCCACGATCGTGATCAAGGTTGAAAAGCTGAGCGTACGGATATATAACAGCTGAAAGTTCCTTGAAAGGCTGTCCGTTGGAAATAACTCTGACAGAATTGTTTCCAGTGTCGCATACAATCAACGATGACCCCATATTTACAAGGCCATGTTGTAAGCTTATTTAATAACTTAAGGATATTAAAACGATCAAATCACTGAAAAGGAACAGGCAAGCTTACCTCTCACGTTGTTTCAATTCGATACTACGTTTTTTACGTTCAGAACTGTGACGATGCTTCTTCTTTTCCCTTCCCCGCTCTCTCTCCCTGGATCTCTCCCGTTTTCTTTCTTTCTTGTGCTTCCCCATTGCTTTTTAAAAAACTTTAAGATACTATCGAATGACCCTTGACTTTAGAAAAACGTGCTTTCGAAAGATAGACTCTTGAATGAGCAAGGGCAGCGGTAGAGCCGCTGCATGATCAGGAATCCGAACCACAGGAAGCCCGAATTGAAGCTAATTGACTCGGAGGATCGATATTGAGGAGTCTGGTATTCTGTTTTAACTTTGCTAATTTTTTTTTAACTAGCTGGATGAGTAAATATTCCCTATTCTGGCTTTTGTGTGTGTTATTACAAATATTCCGTATTACGTA